TCTATGGTTTATGCAAAGTTTCCATAGTTCATGTGTAGTTTCTATGAACCAAGTGTAGTTCTATGGTCCAGGTCAAGTTTCTATGATCGCTGTGTAGTTTCTATGGTTTATGCATAGTTTCCATAGTTCTTGTGTAGTTTCCATGATCCAGGTGTAGTTATTTTGTCCAGGTGTAGTTTCTTTGTTTCGGGTGTAGTTTATATATGGTTTATGTATAGTTTCCGTAGTTTATGTGTAGTTTCTGTGGTCCAGATGTAGTTTCTCTAGTTTGGGTGTAGTTTGTGTGGTTTATGTGTAGTTTCCATAGTTCATGTGTAGTTTCTATGATTCAGTTGTAGTTCTGTGGTCTAGGTGTAGTTTATATGGTCCAGGTGTCGTTGTTTATGTTTCAGTTGTAGTTTTTATGGTTCAGGTGTAGTTTTTTATTGTGCGTGTGTGGTTTATGTGTTCCAGGTTCTGATTTAGGTTTCTATGGTCCTAGTTTCTACTAGAAGAAAAACTACTAAAAACAAACAAATGGCAGTTATTAATAAAAAAACAGTGGAGCAAGTAAAGACAGCAGCAGAGTGAGGAAACTTAGTTAGCTTGTCCTCCAGTGGTCTAAGCCTAAAGCAGAACTAGGGGATTGCTCAGGGAAACCAAGTTAACCCTAGCTGTAGGATTTATTAAAACCAAAAGTCTTAATCCCAGTCTTAAAACTGGACAATGTGTCAGCCTCAGAGACAGAAACTGGAAGTTGGTTCCACAAGAGAGGAGCCTGAGAACTGAAAGTTCTGCCTCCCATTCTGCTTTTGGAAACTCTAGGCACCACAAATAAACCTTCAGTTTGAGAGAGAAGTGCTGTATTTGGAAAAATGTGAAATAATAAGATTTTTAGTAAAAGATAGAGTTTGATTGTTGAGAGATTCGGATGTTGAAATTAGGATTTCAAAATTTTTAATCTGAGTTTTACAAGGAGTCGATGGAAAAGGGCTGAAATTTAAAAAATACAGTGAAGTTGAGGTCAACAGGATTTTATGGGTCGTAAGCTGCAAAGTTCTGAAAAGAACTATTACATTTGGGGATCAGCTGAAGCATCTCTCAGGTCAAGTAAACTTAGTCCACCTGCCTGGGTCCTGAGGGCAGTCTACCTAAAAAGCTGGTGGTGCTTCTCCACCTGACTCAGAAAAAAAGATGGCGTCAGTGCAGCGACCGGGAGGAAACCTCACAGGAAGTGAGACTAAACTCGCCAACTCTGCGTTCCATTTGTGCTGCCTCCAAACTTTGCCGACCCTCTGGGTTTGTTTGCCGACTTCTTCAGGTCTGTCTTGTAAATGAGTCCTCGAGGCTCAATGGGAATTACCTCTATAAATAAAGGTTGATTGATGGATTTAGGAGTTTCTGACATCAGTTGGGGCAAAGTGCTTTTCAAGTGATCACCTCTTCCAGAGAGTTCGAACCACCAATGTGTGAAATTACTGAACGCAGTCTTAGTTTAATCGATTTTGTACAAATAAACAGAACTTTCATTTTCATCAAGGGTTCGTTCAGTTCAAATAAAAAGTGCTGCCACAATAAAAGTTCAAACTTTTTATTTTTTGCATCATCAAAATAATCCTAAACGCACTTTAAGAGGAAAACACGACGAGCTCGTCGCTGAAGGGAAATGATTCCTTTAACAAGAAAACGAAATCAGAAGAGTTCATTTTAGCCCTTAACTTTCATTTTTAGTCATTTAAATAACTTAATTTTAAGAGAGTTGATGAAAATAATATGAAGCTGATCGATGACATGGTGTGGTAACTTTTATGAATTATAAGTGGGACAGTTTCAGGACATGGAGCGTGTCCTCAAGCTGTGAATTAAAGGTTTGTTGTTGGATTCAAGTCAAGCAGCTTCTCCAAAAGGCACAGGATAAATAAACTCCAAGACTTTTATGATACAACTGGAGCCACATGTTCATTCCAGATCAAACCTTAAAGTCATTTTTGAACTGATGTTCTATCAAACATATATATAAATAGTTAGTATCTTACCTGTTGCAGGTCACGGAGGAGGGGGAAATGGGCAGAAGCTTTCATCCAGGCTAGACTAACCATACGAGGGCGCTTTTGTAAATTTTCTTTTACCGTTTGGTCTTTTTGAAAACTTCCATTGAAAGGCAGTCATATTCACCCCAGCTCCAAGGTCAAGGTCACAAATCAAGGTCAAACATTAAACAAGATCTTTGCTTGTCCGGACATTTCCTACAGATTGCTGGAAAATAGTTTGTTGACGACCATATGTGGTGCTTTTGTTCATCCATCATCTTTACCTGCTTCTTCCTTTTTGGGTCACGGGGGGGGGGTCACTGGTGCCCATATCCAGCAGTCACTGTGAGAGGCTGGACAGGTCTCCAGTCCATCACAGAGACACCCTGGACAGGTCTCCAGTCCATCACAGGGAGACCCTGGACAGGTCTCCAGTCCATCACAGGGACACCCTGGACAGGTCTCCAGTCCATCACAGGGACACCCTGGACAGGTCTCCAGTCCATCACAGGGACACCCTGGACAGGTCTCCAGTCCATCACAAAGACACATAGAGACAAACGAGACAACCACTCACTCTCTGTACCTGGAGAAAACCCACGCATGCACGGAGAGAACATGCAAACTCCACCCAGAACTGGGATTCAATCCGGCGACCTTCTTGCTGAGCTCTACCAGCTGCGCCACCGTGCTGCCACTCTTGTTCACGTGTAAAATAACTCTCAAAAACAAAGAAAAAACTTCTACATTAGCTGAAATTAAACCCCTAAACTTTGGACATCGTTTGTTTAGTTTTTTTAAAGGTTTTCTCAAATGAACAACGTCCGTGTTTCTGCGCTAACGTAGAAAAGGGCCGTGATCCGAAGGTGCCGAGGTCGCGAACGTACCGCTGTGACGAGTAAACGTTTGGACTGACTAAACACAAACGATGGAGTTAATGTTTAATCTTTTCACAACTTATATCTGTTTGTAGCAAATTCGTTGGTTGTTTATCTCTGCTTTTATATTTAGTTTTTATCTGGAGTGAAGCACTTTGTGTATGAATGGTGCTTTATGAAAAAAGTCTGATTGATTGAAAGGCGATAAATAGCTAAAACTCTGCCACTTTTACAGATTCTGAGCTGGAACTTGTTGCGTTAGAAGCCGCGAGTCGTCCCATCACAAACTTGAAGCACTAACGGATCATGTAGGATCTGCTGAGGGTCCAGTTGATGACCGTCCGCAGCAGCAGCTGAAATATGTTTGTTAGATGATTCGTGCTCTTTGAGGCCTTTGTCACACGGACGTTATCATTTCTCCGTCCTCGTTAAAGGCCAGAGGACTAATGAAGGTTTATTTATAAAGATGAAACAGACAAAACAATCGAGGTTTAAATGAAATCATTACCGATGAGTCGTCAGTGTCCTCTCTGCTGCTTCTTTCAGGTTCTTACAGACGAAGGATTTGGCCCAATCACGACAGAAATCACTGAAGCCAAACCGTTCTACTACGCCGAGGACTACCACCAGCAGTACCTGAGTAAAAACCCAGACGGGTACTGTGGACTGGGAGGAACCGGAGTCACCTGTCCAGGACTCAACAAGAAGGTCTAAAGAGGAACCAGTCATGAGTCTAATGCAGTCGTTTGAAAAAGCTTTTTAACGCATGAAATAAAACCGTGCAGTGCGCTGCTCGTCTGCAGGATTCATTACTGTGGATTTAATCGTTGTAAATAATTAATCCGTAAAATCTCACACAGATCGGCACATTTACTGAAAAAAAGAGCAAAAGTCGCCAAAGATTCTTTAGGTTTTCCTCAGTAATCTGTTTTACCAGCAGTTTGTGGCTAAAAGCGAATACCGTAGTTTTCGCTGTGTAAGTTGCAAGGTTTTTTTCATAAATTACCATGTCTGTCACTTATGCAGTGAAGTGATATATTAATGTTTTTCCCCATATTTATGAACCAATTTTTGGACGAGATCTGACGATTTCATTCGTTCTGACTGAAAATATCGAGCACTACCATTTTCAGCCACTAGAGGGCGCTCTAGCAAGCCAAGTGTCTTCATTTATACAAAAAAAGTCCACGCTCAATAATCCAGGTGTACAATCCAACAATTTTCAGTCAGGTCATCTGGACAGTTTCTTTTTTTTGCTGAAACGTTTCACCTTACATCCAGAAGGCTTCATCAGTCAAGGAAGCACACAACACAAAACTGACTCTTCCCCCAAACAGCTTCCTCCAAAGTGGAACAAACCAGTTATGTTGGTGCTAAGAGGGTGTCTTTGGCACGCCCCCTCCTCTGTTGCCGGCCCTCTTCCTCGTCTCATTTATAGGTAAAAGTGTCTATTAATGAGACACTTGGCTTGCCGTACCAAGCCAACTTGGTCTCGCTCCGGAGCTCCTGGAGCAAACGGCAAATCAGCTGCATTTCACCGCCCAGGAGAGATTCAGCTGATTTGACCATTAAAGAGCATTTATTAACCGAGAGACACCTTTTACTATAATGTCGAGCAAACAAACAATTGTTTTTAATTGTTAATCTTGTTAAATTCTTGTTAAGGTCCTCCCGTGCACGCTCTCGCAGCTGCCATTTGGCAGCCAATCGATTTTTGGCACAACACCAGCCCACGTTTCCAGCGGTGACGCAAAATAAATGCGACTTATACGGTGAAGCGACGTATTTATGTTTTTTTCCACTTTATTAGGCATTTTTGTTCTGACGTGACTTATACGGCGTTGCGATGTGTACGGCGGCAAGTACGGTAATAAATTATTTGTTGATAAAGCTTGTGGTTTTTTTCTCATTCAGGACATGAGATATCTTAATTTAAAAAAAGTGACAGTTTTTCATGTTCCCCGAATTCCAAATGACCTAAATTCTAAAATAGAGGCAATATTTAAATTTTCTGACTTCCAGCTGTTTTGATTATGAAAATGGAGAATGCCACATTTTAATGAAGAAGCTGCCTGGATGGAAAGCAAAATGTCTTCCAATACAGACTTAACGTTTTTTTTTCCCCTCGACAGTGGTCAAACTTTTCTGAACAAACTAAAAATAAAAGCGTCAAAGATGTTTTAAAGAGTTCTTGGTGAAGATTCAAGCTGCAGTTTTGAAGGACTCTGCAGGAGATCCATAAAACTGCAGCTGAACCTCTGTAGGAACAAGAACGACGTGTTTGATTTACTTCTTTTCCTTTCAGGAGCTTGAAGCCGTGTTTTTTTGACAGAACTGATGGAGAGGTCCACGGTGAAGAAACTTTTCTGACATTTTCATCCGTACCTTCATGAGTCGATCTCTCCGTTGCTGCAGGTTTGTTCGCAGCGTCTCGTCTCGAGTCTGAGTCCAGACGCTTCTGGTTCTGATCCGTCAGAGTTCACGGCGACACAAACTCTAGCTCGTTAGTTTGTTCACGTGCGTTTCCTGCTCTGAGATGAAAGGACGGAGCTGAATTCACGCCCTCCTCTTCATCTGCGTTAGTCGGGAATAAAACCTCTCTCTTTGTGCAGCTTTTCAAAATTAAAGGCCTAATTCCTCAGACGAATGCACGTCAGAGCCACCTTTCATCCAGAGTTAGGGCTAAGATCACCTGCTGCTCAGAAAGGATGCCGTTTATAGTCGTTTTGGTCGAACCTTGGAAATCTCGTGTGCAATCTCATGAAATATAAGACGCCATCTTGTCTGGATTTGTGTCGTTTTATCGTCTTTTGTGTTTTATTATAAGTTTTTTTATGTTTCTGTCTTTGGTTTTACTTGTGTTGTCATTTTTTTTTTTCAGTTCCCGTGTTCACTGTGCCGTCAGTCCTCTGCCCCGCCCACTCTCACCTGTTCCTTGTTTGCATTATTTTGGCTTGTTTTTAAAGGTCAGTTGAAACAAGATGGCTGCCAGGTTTGAAATAAATGAACAAAGAAAATGTTTTATAATCTTCTTGTTTTTATTGTTGCTGTCTTAGCAGGAGTGTTGGACCCAGAACGCAGATTAGATCTGATGAGCTCAAAATTAAACTTGTTTTATTATAAAACGAAACAAAAGGTTGTCGTGGCAACAAAACTTACACTTGAGGTGCAACGCACAATGATGGGCTGTTTATATGGGGCTGATTGGAAGAGTGGCTGCAGCTGTGCTCAACAAAACGGAGCAGGTGCTGGTGGGCGTGGCCAAACAGGCAGGAGTCAGGAAGTAACTGATAAGAAGTGGTGGAGGGATAAAATGACAACTCAAGGGGCAATCGAATCACAAAACATCATAATTAAAAAGGAAATAAATCATAAAATGCAACAACTGACTCACCTGTCTGAGGTGGGCACGTCACGGTTGTCCTCTAAATATTATCTTATTAATTGTTAGTTTAGCTCCAACGATTTGGCGTGGAGCTCCTAAAGTGTATTTTAAAAGAAGATTTCCTGTCCAGAACTCCGGATGTTTTATTGTTTTCATCACGACGTGTTTGCTGCTTCTTTATTTTTCTGCTTCCGAGCAGTTTTTGTCGTGACCTCGTTCCTCTGATCTCTGCCTGGAGCCACGTTCCAACCCAGGCCTCGGCGCTCTTAATCTGCGAGCATGCGTGTGTTTTTGTGCAGCGGAACGGGCGTGTGTGTTTTGACGGCACACACACACACACCAGCAGGAGGAGAGCGTGGACTTTGCCAGGCCCTCCAAAGCTTGGCACCAGCATCACACACAGCTGAAGGAGGAAGAGGCGAGTCTCTTTGGAAATGGCAGAGCGCCATCTTGGATCTCTGCTGGGTTTGGATCTCCTCCATGATGCTGGACCACAGATCCACGAAACCACAGACCGACCGAGCCACAGATCCATCGCCCTTTGGAAACCGAACCTGACCACTATTTTTAGAACTGCGTGTTAATCTCAGGGATTATATATTTTGTTTCCTTTTGTATTAAAATCCTAAAATTTAATCATTTAAATTCTTGTAATCCAAGTCTAAAATTAAGATTACAAGGACAAGTTCAACCACAAATATACCTGAAATATTTTTATAAGATTGAATAAAATAAACATGGAGATAAAAACTTAGTTTAACACTTTTCAGGACAATTTCTGAAGGAATCTTCAAAACAATTAAATCATCTGCACGTTTGATTACGCTGGATTGTGTTTTTATTAAAATAATAATTAAAAGCTTTTCTTTATATAGTTTCATTAAATTAGTGGTCAAGTGAGCTTCAACAGACATTTGTGTATTTCTTGTTAAAACTTTGGTTTTAAATTAATATTTTAATTTATGTTTCTGTATATGTGGACATCCTGCCTTTTTAATTAAACTAAGGATGGTTTATGTGGTTAAAACTTATTTTTATTGCATAAAAAGCTTTAGTTTGAACAAGTTTGATCCTATTCACTGATTGATGGCATCTGTTTTCTGCATATGAAATTATTTCTTTAGTTTATGAGTTAAACACAGGATGAAAATTGCTACAGCAAGAAAATAATGAATTATTTTTGATTAATCTTATGGTGTAAACAAATGTTTCTAGTCTGCCACTTCCTGGCGTGTTTGACTGCACTGCCACCATGAGGTCTTTATATCATCACACAAGGATTTAAAGTTAGAACCAAAACTGAATGTTCATCCAAAATTTAGATAAAATAAAATTTAAATAAATTGCAGCAACATTATTAACTATTATCCTGGTGTAACAATATTTTAAAAATAACAACAACAAAAACATTAAAAATGTACAAATTTAAATAAACTGAGCCAAAAAATATAACTGCTGCAACTTATGAGGTGAGTTGTTAAATGTATATACAGCTTCAGCTGCTATTTGGTGGAAAAAAAAACTTGTTGCGTAAGAATATTAAAATATAAAATGAAAGTAAATGAAAGCCATGAAATACAAACACAAGGAATAAAATCAAAGGCAGACGTTTTGTCATGAAACGGTATAAAGAGTTATTTAAATCTAATGTTTTAATTTAAAGCTCGACTTTGAAAATGTTAAATTTATGTATTTATTTTTAAACATGGGCAGCACGGTGGCGCAGCTGTTAGAGTTGCTCTCTCTCAGTGAGAAGGTTGCCGGTTCAAATCCCGGTTCGGGGGCCTTTCTGGGTGGAGTTTGCATGTTCTCTCCGTGCATGCGTGGGTTTTCTCCGGGTGCTCCAGTTTCCTCCCACAGACCAAAAACATGCATGTTAGGCTGATTGGTAACTCTAAATTGTCCCTAGGTGAGAGAGTGAATGGTTGTTTGTCTCGTTTGTCTCTATGTGTCCCTGTGATGGACTGGAGACCTGTCCAGGGTGTCCCCCGCCTCTCACACAGCAACTGCTGGATATGGACACCAGTGACCCTCGTGACCCAAAATGGAAGAAGCAAGTAAAAGATAATGGATGGATGTTATTTTGGTGAAATCATTTTATACAGGGATTTAAGGTTTGAACCTAAATACTATATAATTTGTTCTAAAGTGTAGTTTCTTCTTCTTCTTCTTCTTTCAGCTTTTTCCTCTTCTGGGTCTCCACAGAGAGTCATCCTCCTCCATCTCACTCTGTCCTCTGCATCCTCTGTCCTCTCGCCATCTCTCTCCATGTCCATCTATATATCCTTATCTGGCACTTCATTTCTAACATCCTTCTACCAGTATACCCACTGTCCCTCCTCAGGACATGTCCAAACCACTGTCCCTCCTCAGGACATGTCCAAACCACTGTCCCTCCTCTGGACATGTCCAAACCACTGTCCCTCCTCAGGACATGTCCAAACCATCTCAGTGTGTCCTCTCTAACTTTATCTCCCAGGTGTTCAACCTGTGCTGTACCTCTGATGACCTCATTCCTGATCTTCTCCATCCCTGTCTCTCCTGAGGAGAACCTCAACATCTTCATTTCTGCCACTTCCAGTTCTGTCTCCTGTCTTTTTGTCCATGTCTCTGTCTCCAGACCATACAACACAGCTGGTCTCACACTGTCTTGTAAACTTTTCCTTTGACCTTTGCTGACGCACTTTTGTCACAAATCACTCGTGAAACTTTTAGTTAATTAAAGTGCAAAAATCTGTTGTTTCAATAAAAAGTAAAAACATTTATTTTAAATTATTTGGACCTAACAGAACACGTCTCATGCAGAATATGCGTACAATTAATGTTTTGTAAATTGTATTGATATTTGTAGGTTTTTTAATTATTTTAATTTTTTAGTATTTATGAGTTCCTGTTCTCGTCCTTGTTTTCTGGTTTCTGGATGCTGATCCCACGTCTGAGAAGCTACGAGTCTCAACTTGACAGACGCCTCTCTACGTCCACCTGTAGTGTAAACGGCTGTTTGTAAAAACTGGTCATCTTCAAAAGGTACTTTAAAAATAATGTTTCGCTGAGAATCATCCTGAAAAAAAAAAACCTGCCACCTCTGCTGCAAAAAGTGCCGAAATCAGAGCCTCGATCTTTAACAGAAATGTTCGTGTTTGGACAGAGCATGGACGACTTCATTAGTCAAGACCAATTTATTTATAAAGCACATTTAAAACAGCAGCTGTTACCAAAGTGCTTAACAATAAGATCAAGTCAGTAAAAAATAACGATGTAATTAAAAACACAAAAACAATGAGAAACGGTGAAATAGTAAATCAAATCACACGCGTTAAACGTCACTGAAAACAGATGTTTTTTAAAACAGGAAGTGAAGTGGACTGTCTAATGTTGGGGGGCAGATTATTCCAGAGTTTAAGGCTCACGAATGAAAAAATCCAACCTCCTCTGAACTTCAACCTGGTCTATGGTACAACCAAAAGTAGCTGATCAGATGATCTCAGCGCCCGAGAAGGAGCATATGGAGATATGAGGTGCAAGGCTATTTAGGCGCTTCTAGGTCAACAGAAGAATTTTTAAATCACGAGTACAGGGAGCCAGTGAAGGGAGGACAGAACCAGTGAAATATGCTCAAACCTACGAGTTCCTGTTAAGAGTCGAGCTGCAGCATTTTGGACGAACTGGAGATGTGAAATGGAGACCTGACTGACCCAGCATAAAGAACGTTACAATAGTCCAGCCGGGCTGTAACAAATGCATTTTTTCAAAGTCAGATCTGGTCAACACAGATTTAAGATATCTGCCTTAACTGGAAGAATCTTTTTTGTGCAACAGAGTTGATCTGTTTATTAAAATTAAAATCAGTCTAAAACCATCCTGAGATTCATAACAGACTGCTTAAGATATGGCTCAAGAGATTCAAGGTTTACAGGATCAGAGACGGTGATAGAACTATAGGGCTAAACACGACTTCAGTTTTCTGATCATTAAAATTTAAAAACTTTGAAGCCATCCATGCCTTGACATCATCAAGACATTTTAACAGAGGGTGAATGGAGGAAGAACTGTTGGGTTTTAAGGGCAAATAAATCTGACCATCATCAGCATAACAGTGAAACGAAAGACCACGTTTCCTCAGAATGGACCCCAAGTGGAGCAGATACAGTGAAAACAGAAGGGGTCCAAGAATCGAGCCCTGTGGGACCCCACAGGCTCGATTAGGAGGATTTGGACGTGTTTCTTCTCGTTTGTGTTTGAAGAAAACTCCCAGACTCCATCATGTTTGTATTTGTTTGTATTTGTTGTATCATTGTTTGTATTTACAGCAGAAATACACAGATCTCCAGTTGTACAAACAACCCAGTCAGCATAAACACAGTTACAACAGTATGAACATAAATTCATTTTTTATTTAATATATATATATTTATTAAAAATGTCTTGACTTGTTGGTGGATGAGACACGCAGTGGACGCTGTTTACTAGAAGCAGCAACATGAGAGACACCAGAGCCGTAGAAATCTGACAAATGAAGCAAATTTAAACACGATGGAGTCGCATCAGAATGCATCGAGGTTGAACCACAACAGAAACAGGCCGAGCTAGTTTTAGGTCCCGCTGAAGGACACAATATTTATCTCTGAGAAAAAGAATTTCACATAGATAAAATCACTAGAAGTTGATTAAGGTGCTGAGCAGCTCTTCTGAACACTTAGTGAAGCACTGACATGCGAAATCAAAATATCATCTTCATACCAATTCTATAAATTATCCACAAAAATAGAAATGCTCTTATATACATTTATTTACAACATAAATCACACCTGATCGGTGGCATCAGTGCACGAAGTGGTGGGAGATGATCAGCACCTACAAATCTGAGGTGATGGTCCTCGGTTGGTAAAGGAGAGACTGTCCTCTCCAGGTTAGGAGGTAGGGACTGAAAGAATGAGATCCTGGATCCAGGAGGTCTAAAAGAGTTTCCTCTGCAGGGTAGCTGGAGTCTCCCTTAGAGGTAGGCTGAGAAGTTCAGTTCTCCAGGAGAGACACGGAGAAGAGCCGCTGCTCCTCCACATCGAGATGAACCAGTTGAGGTGGGGTTCAGGCATCCGGTAAGGATGGGCCCTGGACACCTCCAGAAGGAGATGTTCTGGACATATCCAACTGGGAGGAGACCCAGGACACGCTAGAGAGACTTGTTTCTTAGCTGGCCTGGGAACACCTTGGAGTCCTCCCAGAAGAGGTGGATGTAGAAAGAGATGTCTGGACCTCCATGCTCAGGATGCTGCCCCTGAGACCCGACTTCAAAACAAGATGATGGATGGATGGATGGATGGATGGATGGATGGACGGACGGATGGATGGATGTAAATCATGCCTTGATGCACTAAATAAATCTTGACACCAAACCTGCAGCAACGTGCTTGGAGTGGATTTAACCACCAACCTGTCAGTCAACTCGTGTATGGAATGAAATTAGTCTCAAAAAGATTCACAAACTCGTGCAACAACATTTGTTTGTGTACAACATAATTCACACACGTGTAAGGCCCAAGTAAAAATGCGCTACACATACAAACCAGAAAATGTTTGTGCACGAATCACCAGCTGTGCACGGATCAGCTTGCCTGTGCTCACGACTTTTTTGAGACTTTCAGATTTACGAATGAGATGATGCGTTCAAGGCTGAGGAAAAGCTGGGATATCTGAGCATTACCAGATTTACTGCGCTATTGGAAATACTGTATTTTTTACTTGGCCCAGTCGATCGTAACCACTATATTAAATACATGCACTTAAATTAACATTACTGGATTGTAAAAATGTTAACTTTCTAGACTGTACTGCTCAAACACTGATTTACAGCTGGTGATTCGTGCACGCGCATTTTCCGATTTGTATGTGCAATGTATTGCTGCTTGGGCCACACATTTGTGAATTACGTTGCATACAAATACTGTTGCACGAGTTTGTGAATCTTTTTGAGACTAATTTCATCCCATCCTCGGGCGCCCCGTCCTCCCTCACTGGTGGTTAAAACGTTTTGCGTCGAGCGGCCGTGTTCAGGTCACAGAACGTTACAGATTTACCGACGAGATGCCAATCTCTTCGTTTTCACATGAACAAAGTGCCAAAAACATTTAAAAGATAATCTCTTTCAGTTATTACAAACTTTAATTTGACATCCAGTGTATAAAAAAAGCTAAATGAAATAAAATAGTTGCATTTGAAGCTACAGCTTTCGGTTATCTGCTCATGTGATAAAATCCATTTTGAAGGCAGGTTTGGAGGTGTAACGATGATCCACAGCGTCACGAGCAACTGTCAGTTTGCTAACGTTGGTAAAAACGTGGTTTTAGCAGCTGTTCCAGCTGTGGCCGTGGCAGGCGTCACGCTGGAGTCCGGTTTCAGCGCTCCCTTTTGGAGAAACGTGGGGCAGAAAGTGCTGATGTAAGCATTTTTAAAGCCTGAGTGGCAGAAGCAGTAAACCAGCGGGTCGAGAAGACAGTCGGCGTTCGACAAAACCATGAGGCCGTCGTACACCTGCACCACGGTGCGCTCCGTGTCCTCCATTTTGTTCAGCCGTACTCCCAGCAGCGCCGCTCGGGCTAAGGTGCTGGGCAGGAAGCAGACGGAGAAGACCACGACGACCGACATGACAGCAAAGACAGCCTTCCTCAGTTTGGTCTTCTCCCCGACCGTCTTCTTCTTCAGCCTGTTCACGATGTGAACGGTGCAGTAGACGAGGATGAAGAAGGGGAAGATGATCTGTGTGAAGAAGACGATCTAAAAAACAAACACGTGTTTGTAGGTCAGATGGCAGCAAAGTAAGCTGTTAGCATGCACCATGTTGACCGTCCGGCTCAGTTTTACTGTTTAAATATATTTATTTTATGCTAGGACAGAATTCTTACAGAACGTGCATATAGTTTTAATTTAAATTAAAGTCTAACAAGGAAAAAAAAACATTTTAGAACATTTAATATAGAGATTTAGCAGCTTTTTGCTTATCAACGTCAAAGAAGTTTGTCTAAATATCAGTTTATGGAACAAGCTTCACCTTAAAAAGAGTCATAAAATGGTGAAATAGAAATAATTTCCATAATTTTTCCCGTTATTTAGTCCCTTATATAATTATTTTATTTGGATGGATCGTGCAGGTCGTTGCAAGGATCGTTATAAATGCTGCAAATTGTTTGTGTTGCTTTTAGTTTTAAAGAAAAATGCCAAACAAATCCAGTCCGACTGATCACCTGATGAATAAAACATTTTATAGATGAATCAATATTTCTACAACGGTTGGCGCTCGTGGACACTTCATGCTTTCACCTCTGTCTCAAAGTCTACTCCTTATGAAGCTGATGTTTTTGTTACATGAATAAAACTACCATATTTTTCGCCGTATAAGTCATGTATTTTAGCATAATTTACCTGCTCTGCGACTCATACAAGGAAGCGACGTATTTATGGATTTTTCCCCATATTTATAAACCAATTTTTGGCTGAGATATGACCGTTTTCATTCATTCTGACATTGAAAATATTGAACACTACCATTTTCAGCCACTAGATGGCACTCGAGTAGTAAGGCATGCCATTGTGTCAAGTAATAGGTAAAAGTGGCTATTAATGACACAATCGGCTTGCCATAGCATGACACCTTCATCTGTCTGGAGCAACAAAACCAGCTTCATTTCGTTGCACCGCCACGGCAAAATGCAGCTGATTTGACCTTCAAAGTGCATTTATGAAGGAAAACTTAGACTGAGACACATCTTTCTTATAATTTTGAGCAAACAAATGATTGTTTTTAAGTGTTAATCTCTTTAAATTCTTGTTAAAGTCCTCCTGTGCACGCTCCCGTGGCCACCACATGGCAGCCCATTGATTTTTGGCACAACACCGGCCCACATTTCCGGGTTGTCAGCGGTGACACGTGACAAACGCGATGCGTCAGCAGTGATGCATAATGGATGCGACGTGCGAAGCGACGTATACGGCGAAGCGACGTATACGGCGAAGCGACGTATACGGCGAAGCGACATATTTATGGATTTTTTTCCACTTCATTAGACATATTTGGTCTGATGTGACTTATAGGGCGGTGCGGTGTGTACAGCGAAAAAACGGTAACTGAAGTCTTTATGTGGTTTCATGTGTAAATGTGAAAACAAAGAGCTACCTCTCTGAAGGTGTCCGTCACGTCGTGGAAAAACGTCTCCACTTCCCGGCCATGGCTGTTGCAGCACTCGAAGGTGTTGACCATCGTGGGGACGGTGAGGGGCAGCAAGAGGAGCCATATGACCACGGAGATCTGCGGAGACTTCTTGATGATCTTGACAAAGTTTTTCCTCCCAAGATGGACGACACTGAAGTATCGGTCGAGGGACAGGGTGACGAGGAAGGCGATGCTGGCGCCTCGGTTGAGAAACAGCATGAAGAGCATCGTCTTGCAGATGGCATTGCTGCTGCTGCGCCTCAAGTTGTGCTGATAGTGATGGATCTTGAAGGGAAGACAAGCCACCAGCAGGAAATCAGCAACCACTATGTTGAACAGAAAGATGCAGTTGTTCTTCCAGAATTTGAATCTGAAGAAGAGGAAGAAACCCGTTTACCAACATAGAGAACCATCTGAGTCTAGAAGGTCAATCTTAACATTTTATTTAAGACATTTACAGAACATCTGCATATCCTGAGAGCTTCAGTTCACTCCAGCTGATGCAGTTTCAACAAAACTGTCAACTAGAGACACAGCACTTCCTGTGAAAACCACGTGCGAATGCTTGTTGCTGAGAAGAAGCTGAAACCAGCTGAAAAGCTTCATGCTGAACTGCTAATGCCACTTGAATGTGAACCTTTGCTGATAACAGCTAAATAAAAGCAGAAAGTTCAAGTTGTGTTTATTTGTCTTATGCAAGGTTAACACAGGGTTAACAGTAAAATGAAATGCTTAGGATGAGAAGAACTGATTTGACTCACCAAAAAAACAAGAACAAACAAGAAATAGTAAATGCATGCAATAAGGGTACACACAAACAAGTACCAAAAAGTGAAAAAAAAATTATAATATTTACAATGTTCTAAAGAGAGATATTGAACAACAACATGGTAGAATATAATGGTGCAGCAGGATGAACTTGAATGAACAAATATTTCAAGGTAGTAATATATGCTAAAATGAACATTATATATTTATATTTAGATAGATAGATAGATAGATAGATAGATAGATAGATAGATAGATAG